TAAGGAGAGTAGAAGTATAAGGTAATCAGTCCCTCAACCTGGATTCGATGTGTTCAGTCCATCACTCTTGTAGTAAGTGCAGCATAGGGCCAGAGAGGTGGCTTATATACTTATATCACATCTGTCAGACACTGCAACATCATGGAATCTTGGTACAAAGACTTCAACGCTTGCCCAACCTTTGGACGACGACCTACTTACTCTAGTGGCACGTCCCACTAAGATCCCGCCTCCTCCTGCTTCAACTCATCTCACCGCAGTATATAAGCCACCTCTCTGGCCCTATGCTGCACTTACTACAAGAGTGATGGACTGAACACATCGAATCCAGGTTGAGGGACTGATTACCTTATACTTCTACTCTCCTTACCCATTTTTTACTTTGTATTGGACTGATGAAGCCACTGTGTGGCGAAACGTTTCTTCAATAAAGATTCCCATGTGTTGCATAAGTGTCTCAATTGATAAACAAGTGAGCTGTGTGGCAACGAGGACGAGGGGCTCTGGTGGCCTGGTGGTTAACGCTCTCGCTTCACACGGTGAGGGCCTGGGTTCGATTCCCAGCCAGAGTAGAAACATTGGACGTGTTTCTTTCCACCTGTTGTCTATGTTCCCCATCAGTAAAATGGGTACCTGGGTGTTAGTCGACTGGTGTGGGTCGCATCCTGGGACACTGACCTAAGGAGGCCTGGTCACAGACCGGGCCGCGGGGGCGTTGACCCCCGGAACTCTCTCCAGATGAACTCCAGATAAACTCCAGGGTGGGAAAAGCAGCCAGGTAAAGGGGAGATTAAAGGCAGGGGTGATTAGAGCAGCATGGGGCAAGTGGTGGGGAGGGTGGCAGTAGCAGGGAGGGGGAACAGCAGCATGGGGCAAGTGGTGGGGAGGGTGGCAGTAGCAGGGAGGGGGAACAGCAGCATGGAAGCAACAGCAGGGGGCGGGGAAGAGAAGCTACAATTAAAGGGAAGGGCAGGAGAACAGCAACAACAGTTGGGGGACAGAAGCAGCATCATGAAGAGCAGCAGTAAGTGGGTGGAAAAGAGGAAAAAGTAGGATAGGGCGAGAAGAACAGCAGATAGAGACGACAACAGATAAAGGGGTAAGGAGCAGTGGTTAGGAGAGTGAGAGCCTGGGAAAGAGTTGTAGTAGAGAGGAGAGGGGATTAGAAGAACGGCAGCGGTGTTAGTGTCCTCACCCTTCAAGGACACACAGGACACAGCAGTGCCTTCTGTGTAACTTTCCTATCAAAGCCCCGAAGCTCCGCGGTAATGCATTGCAACTGTAATCTCGAGACCACGGTTAGAGCCCCCCTCCCACGTTTGTTCAAGGACCCTTGATGCTGAGACTGACTGCGGGTTCTAACCCCGCCCGTGGTATGGTTTGTTTGCAATCGTATCATTACGATTTCGCGAGTCAATAGCCTCTTAATCTGAGCAACTGGATAAAGCCTGACTACTGCTCTATTTCCCAGGCACAGTCTGTATGACCCCTACGAGCTTAGCGCCTCCTCCTTAAAATAACAAACAGCTACGACGTGTATATCATTCAGGCATAAGGGGAATTATCACTAGGCCCCTGGCTGCCTTCCAGAGGGAGGTGGACAGATACCTAAAATACCCGATAAGCCTGGCTGTAGTTCCTACATTGGAGTACGTGTGGCCAGTAGTATCAGCCTGGTTGATCAAATCTTGATGTACTGGGAGGCCTAGTCAAGGACTAAGCAGCGGGGGTGTTGACTCTCGGAAAACCCTTCAGGTAGACTGGAAGAATTAAGTCGTCAGATTGAATAAATTCTAATCTCAGTAACCAACTTTTTAGAAATTACAGTGGGCGAGATCCAGTGGTTGGTTGTATCTGTATGATGCAATTCACCACATTAACTTTCACTGGCATAACATACACGCAACCAGGGTGAGCAGGTGGTCAGCCTGGCTGGTGGGTTGTGATCTGACGAAGGGGCTGTCAGTGAAGGGACCCGCCTGAAGAACTGGAAAGCTGGAATTCAACGCATCACCATCAGCCCTAATCTGAGGGGGCAGATGGTGAGATATAAGGCGTCTTTAACTCTAAAATTCCTCTGTAGAAGTTTCATGTTGGGTAATGGGGACTGAAGGAAGATGAAATCCCATGTCTGTCTTCCTCCGCTTATTGAGGCAGATAGGGCGGTTCAGGCTCTTGGGTGTATAATTTTCGTTTCCATAGACACTTTTTTTTTTCTCAAATTTACAGTGAACTTAAGAACTACAACTTGTAAAAGGTATTTTTGTCATATTTTAACATTATAAGTAAAATCATTTTTATTTAGTAAAGGGGGAGAGAGAGAAAAGGGGGAGCGGGGCGAAATTGCGTAGATGGAGGGAAACAGAGTGAGGATGATGGAGGGAGATAGAGAAGCAGCGAGAGGGGGAAGGAAGATGTGGGCGAATGGAGTAAGACAACAAATAAGGGAGGAAGGAGGGACACTATATGGGGGAGGAGAGGAGAGGTGGGGTGAGAGAGGAATGGTACGATAATGCTAGCAGGAAACACCATCATCACTTGACCGCGCAATTTTCCTTTTGGCTTTCAAATGAAAGTAGAAATAAATAAGGAATGTAATGATGAGAGTGAAGAACAGTAGAGTGGGAGAGTAAATAAAAGAGAGAACAGAGGTAAAGGGGGGAGAAAATGGGAAGGATGGTGGCGAGAGTAAGGGATAGGGAAGACAACGTAAACAGTATCAGAAAGACAGGCACATTCATCAGGTGTAGACGTGTGAATGGTTCATTGCCTTTGTAACTTGTTCAGCTATCAGAACATTGGGGTCATAGTCCCTGGCTTGTGAACCAGGCTGCCCAGCTTATGTGGCGTTTGAGTGTCCGTCTCAGTAGCAATATCGAATCAGGCTGACTGCGATCTCTCTTATATATATATATATATATATTATATATATATATATATATATATATATATATATATATATATATATATGCATAAGATCACAGTAAACAGGTGATTTTAAAATATGAAAAAACAACCACTGTGAAAGAGTAGTGAAATTCCAAGCGCTTTCGTGACTACTCACATTGTCAAGGAACTATGAAAGTAATACATCAAAGGAAGGCAATTAAAGGGCTTTGACCACACCTCACAGTCAACCCCTACAACAAAGAAACACCTGAATGTAGATATACACCATTTCCTTGGCAAAATAAATAGCTTAGCCCATTCTACAAACTTTACTGTTGAGTTTGAGGAAAATAGCTCATTGCCTTTTCTAGATGTTTTAATTATTAAGAGTAATAATGAATTCAAATTTAAAATTTACAGAAAACCTACAAATAACTGTTCCTATGTACACTATTATTCTTCCCATCAAGATAAAGTTAAACTGTCTGTTTTCTCATCAATGTTTTTGAGAGCTTTACGTATTTGTAGTCCAGAGTTCATATTGAAGAAATATCAAAAAATTATGAAATAGCTAATGATCTGAAATACCCGAGAAATGTAATTGATAAATCATTTAAAATTGCTAGAAATACTTTTTACAACCCAAAAAGGGACAGCCAACCTTATTCAACTAAAAATATGTTCTCCCTTACCATAAAAACTTGGTTGATATGCCTTCTCTTCTTAAGACTTTTAATATCAAAGTTGTATTTAAAAATCTTGATACAGTAAAAAAACTTTTGATAAAGAATTCCCCCCAAAATGCTGACGGATTTGTCTATAAGATTCATTGTAAAATTTGCGATAAAGTTTATTACGGTCAAATTGGTAAAAGTCTCGAACTTAGATTAAAACAGCATAAATATAGCATTAGAACTGGACAAGATTCCAATGTTCTATTTATTCACGTGAGAGATTTTAACCATCCAATTGATTTTCAAAAACTTGAGAAAGTTGTATCAAGCAAGTCCATGGTCGACAGGAATATAATTGAATCTTGTTTCATAAAAAGCAGTTTTGACAATAATATGAATATTTCCTTTGGTTTATATAAATTAGATTCATTTATAATTAATAAAATTTGGTTAGAGTTTAATAATACATTGGACAAATAATAAACCTTATTTATTGGGTAGAATAATTTGTTAGTGGTATGTCGTGAGGACCTGTCTAGTTGGACCAGCGGACCTACTGCAGTGTTCCTTTTTTCTTAGGAGTCCGGTATTGTCGCGCGTCAGGTGTTTCTTTGTTGTGGGAGTTGACTGTGAGGTGTGGCCTAAGCCCTTTAATTGCCTTCCTTTGATGTCTTACTTTCATAGTTCCTTGACAATGTGAGTAGTCAGGAAAGCGCTTGGAATTTCACTACTCTTTCACAGTGGTTGTTTTGCATATATATATATATATATATATATATATATATATATATATTATATATATATATATATATATATATATATATATATATATATTTAACAAGTCGGCCGTCTCCCACCGAGGCAGGGTGACCCAAAAAAGAAAGAAAATCCCCAAAAAGAAAATACTTTCTTTCAACACTTTCACCTCACACATAATCACTGTCTTTGCAGAGGTGCTCAGATACGACACTTGAGAAGTCCTTCCAAACTCTCAATATCCCAAACCCCTCCTTTAAAGTGCAGGCATTGTACTTACACATTTCCAGGACTCAAGTTCGGCTAAATCTATAATAATCGGTTTCTCTGAATCCCTTCACTGATTACCCTGCTCACACTCCATCAGCTCAAGTCCCAAAAACCATTCGTCTCCATTTACTCGTAACACGCTCACACACGCTTGCAGGAAGTCCAAGCCCCTCTCCCAGAAAGCCTCCTTTACCGCGGGGGCGTTGACCCCTGAAACCCCCTTCAGGTATACTAATATTATATAATATTATATATATATATATATATTATAATATATATATATATATATATATTATATATTTATATTTATATATATATTTATATATATATTTATATATATTCTAAGGTTTCTTTCCTGTATTTCCCTGGTTAGTGTATTAAATATTTGTATTTTTTTCTGTGTGCACACAG